GTACTGCAGTTCTAGAAAGCCAGGTTTCCAGGCTCACAATCCTTTTGCACTAAAACAAAATTCTGATCCGTTTAGATTGTAAAACTCATCGAGTTGAGTATAAAAAATTATCTTTTAGAATTTTAGAAATTTTTTTGAGGCTGAGAAAAATTAAAAGCTTCTTAGTCCCAGCGAATAACGCTAGAGAAAAAATTGATTTTGCTTCCTGTTTCTGTGAAATTTGGCGAAGTAGGCGCCGTTCTCTCAACTGCATAGGGGTTTTGTTGACGTGACTCGTCAGAGAGCGACTGTATCGCCTTCGACCGAACGACTCTTACTGCGCAGTGTTTGAAAGAAATTCCTCTACCAAATAAATAAAAGACATATGGCGTGCCAAAGCTTGAAAACTATGTCGACTCCTGACTTAACAGACGTTGCATACTGAAAGTTATTGATTCGAACTTTCCACAAAATTAAAAAGTTTCAACAAAGAGCAATTTCTATGGCACAAAAGAAAGCTCAAAGGCAGCTTTTCAGCTCTACTATACCGATAAGACGTGTTCCATATTTGCTCTGAAAGTTTATTCAATAGTTTTACACTATTCTATCTTTTACTATCATTTTTTGGCACGTAAGTATTGATTTTTCTTCCTCCAAGAAGAAGTCCAAGAAGTTTAAAAAGTTAATATTGAGCTGTGATTACTTAAGTGGAAGAAATTTTCATCTCGGACGAAGTTTTCTATCTTTTATGATTCAAAGTGGACAAATTCTCGGGCACCTTTAATCGATATATTCACAACTTTCTCTCCTATGCAATATAATTTCTGGGATTTTAAAATATCAGATTACTTTCGAATTTGTTCAAATGAATAAATGCTTAAGAGGAGGGGCACAGTGGACATTTTTCCATAGAGCAGACGCACATCTTGTTTTTCTGAGTTAACCCTTTGACTACCATAGTATAAAAAAAGCTACACCTGTTTTTTTCATAGTTCTCATGATGTAATTCATAAAAATTAGTACGTAATCTATTGAAAAGGAGTACTACTACTATTATTCGGTAGTCAAAGGATTAAAAATGATTATTTTCGCATAGTATGGTCTCATGATACGTCAGATATTAATAAGCATAAGAAATCGAAATCTTTTCTTCGATAAAAAGTTACTTAGGGGGACCCTTGCGCTGAATTCGTGTCAAAAAATATTTTATTTGTAAAATTAATAAGTTATACAGCATTCGGTGTAGTTTTTTATGCTGATCCCAAATATCACATTAATTTTCAATAAAAGTGTTTCTCGGCTGAGAAAAATGGAAATGCCTCAAAACCCAAGGTTTTTGGAAAAACCTATAACTCAAATTTGATAAAAATGTGCATTTTTGTGCATTCACAATTGATATAGGGAATGACGCCGAATATTTTGGTACACTATTGAGTCGGATTGGACAGGGAAGACGTCATTACAAGATGAGAACCGCTTTCGAAACAGACTTAGTCTAAAAGTCGAATTTTTTCTCCGATTTCACACCATTCGATAGCTCGTCAATTGAACTACACGTGGCACTGTTTGAAGTTTGGAAAAGCGTACTTTTGATTTTTGGTTAAATGGATGTCCACTGTGAGGGGAGGGAACGGGCAGCCACCCCGTATTTTTCCTTACTTTGTCGAGTGCATCAGGCTGTATACGCCCTGAAGGGTTTTCAATGAACAGACTTGTAATTGCTGAGAAAAGAATTTTTTACGAATTTCAAACGATTTTGATCCTCTGTTTAAAAAACAAGTAGTATTCATCATTCTGATTCACTTGTTCCTTGACTGGAAAGGAATCGCCAATACCAGATTATTTCTATACAACAGAATAATTATCTTTCTTGTTCCCTCCCCATTACATTCTGAACATTCCCAACAAGCAGCAGCAAGCAGATACTACGACAGTTCTGACGAACATCGTTGTTCTTGCAAGGCAAGAGGTAATTGAGGCACATTCCCAATTCTTAAATTTTTATTTCGGATCACTCTCGTATTATGCCTTGACGAGTCTGTTTGTCTGTTCGCTAATAACTTGTGTCTGCACACAAGGGCTAAGTAATGTGTCCATGTGTGTTTTTCGTTTGTCTGCGTCTAAGTTTAGGGAACTATGGGAAAGTACTGAAAACTGCTGGGAAACTGACGGACATTATGGTAAACCGAGCGTAACTGGAAGAGAGCCGAAGAAACGTGCAATCAAATAAAAGGAAATAAAAGGAAACTAGAGATTCTAAAGGGAAACTAAGGAAAACCGAAGCAGACTAGGAGAAATCGGTGGGAAACTACTGTAAGCAGCTAAAAGCTTGATAACGCAAGAACCGTTACGCAACAATTTACACGATGCTTGTGTCGCTGCGCGCCTTCGGTGCTTGCTTCGATGCGCATTCCTTAATGGGACGAACTTTCTTTTCACCGAAGCAGTTTTTTCTTAATGAGCACTTAGCATGAGCTGGAGCTATTTTCGCTACACTCCCCACTGGCATGATGCTTCCTCTGGCTCACGTAGTTGCTAACCTGAAGTGTTGTTCTGTTCTGAACTACACTTAGATACCCCAATAGAATTTACCAATTTCCGTATAATTTCTGTTTTACTCAATAAGACCCTTTCCTTTACAGTCAGAGGAATACCATTTTCATCCTGTCAAGCTGAGATGAAATTTTCGACCAACAAAATCGATCCCAGAGGTCGCTCATAGCCATTTTCTGATTCTTCATAGTCGAATACCTATTCCATACCATTTCATCCTATCAAGTTAAGCCAAGTAAGGCTCGCTAGCCTGCTGATTCTCCCACGAAGTCACGGAACTGTTCAGCTGGTGTTCTACTTTTTATTGTATTATCGGTCGTAGGTAACGCTCGCTTGCAACGTGACAGTTTTTCACAGTGTTGATCCCTCCCTGCACATATACTCAAGGTGACTCTAGCTTGGCGCTAGGAACTTATGTGTATGAACGACCTTCGTTGACTTCGAATCAAAAACAACACTCACACCGCCCTTCGGCCGGTGTTCGCTAGAGGGGACTATCCACACTGTGTGTGTATCTACGTCCGTTCCACAGTGTACAAATGTCTGCGTGTACTCCCGTCGATCACACTGATGTTTTTCCTACATACTCCAGATCGTTTTCATTCAACGAAGCTGAGATAAACATTTCGGCCCATAGAACCGATCGTAGAGGTCGCTCCCCTAGAGAACGTACTTGATGCAAGTATTTGATGACTTGCTAAGTACTTGATAAGCACTTGGAAAAATTGGCAAGTGTTTACTTTGTGAAAGTCCTTGGCAAGTAAGGGCTTTCTTATCACCCTAAACTTTTCTAGCTTTGGTAAAAACTAGAAGCGTTTTTTCCTAAACGCCTTTGGCTTAGGGAAACACCTTTTTAGATTTCTCAAGTAGCGATTTTTCAAGGATTTTCCAGTGGGAGCAAAAAATTAAAAGGATTTTTTAAAAAAAGTTAATCGAACACTTTATATTTCGAAATCCAACAAACAATTTAGCTTAACGCGGTGAACTCTTATGTAGCGATTTCTATATAAAGAAAGAGTAAAAAAGAAAAACTTTTAATACGAGATCTCTCAAGATAAAGTATTTCTTAAGGTAGTTGACACACTCATTTCACCATGTTTTACCAGGTTTTCTCTTCGGGAACATAATGCTTTAATTCTACTTTAGACAAGTTAGCACCCTCGCCACTATCTATTTACATGAATACTATACCTATACTTAGGAAAACATGTTTTCTTTGTGGACTTCAGACATAGAATAATATAAGTTCATCAAGTGAATATTAAGCGCAGTAGAGAAATACTAGAATAATATCACCTTGAAAACAATCCAAATACTTCCAATTTTACTTGACAAGCGCTTGTCAAGTAAAAAATCAAGTACTTGCACGCTGAACAAGTACTCTCACAAGTAAATTTACTTCTGAAAAAAAGACAAGTACCGGCTTCATTACGCAAGCGGAGTACGTGTCCCAAGTACATTCTCTAGGGTCATACTCATTTTCTGATTCTCCATAGTCAACTACCTACTCCACACCACTTTCATCCAACAAAACTGAGATAAACATTTTGACCAATAGAACCACCGGTAGCGGTCACTCATACTCATTTTCTCATTCCCCAGACTTGACTACCTACTCCAGATCATTTTCATCCATTCAACCCGAAATGATGTTTCCGACCAATAGGATGCACCACAGAGGTCGCTCATACCCATGTTCTGATTCCTCAGACTTGACTGTCTACTCCATATGACTTTCATGCAACAAAGCTGAGATAAATATTTCGATCAATAAGACCAATCATAGAGGTCGCTTATACTCATGTTCTGATTCTCCATTCTTGAGTACCTGCTGCATATTATTTTCATCCGTTCAAGTGCAAATGATGTTTTCGACCAATAGGATTCATCATAGAGGCCTCTCATACTCATTTTCTGATTCCCCATAGTCGACTACCTACTCCATATCATTTTCATCCAACGAAGCTGAGATATGCACTGCGACCAATAGAATCGATCGTAGAGGTCCTTATATCCATTTTCTCATTCCCTATTTCTGAGTGCCTGTTAAGTATCATTTTCATCCATTCACGTGCAAATGATGTTTTCGACCAATAGGATTCACCATAAAGGTCGCTCATTCTCATTTTGTGACTCCCCACAACCGATTACCTATTGTACATCACTTTCATCCCACGAAGCTGAGATATACATTTCGACCAGTAGAATCGATAGTAGAGGTCGCTCATACTCATTTTCTCATTCCCCAGACTTGGCTACTTACTCCATATCATTGTCATCCATTTAAGTGCAAATGATGTTTTCGACCTATAGGATGCATCGTAGAGATCGCCCTTACTCATTTTCTGATTCCCTGTAGTCGACTAAGTACTCCATAGCATTTTGATCCAATCAAGTTCTGCTGTACTAGTTTGTGTGTCGCTAGCATCTAGTCAGCGGACATACAAACAAACATACATACAGGCATTTTAACTCGATAAGACCCTTTCCTTTACAGTCAAGGGAATATTGGGCTTTTTTAATAGTTCACCATCAAATAAAAACTTTTGTATACGATTTTTGAAATGGTCAGAAAGACTAAACGGAGAATCCAAATGTTCACTAGCGTTTCCTCCATCGTCAACTATTGTTTCCATTAGACCGTCTTTTGCACTAAGACGTTGAATACGACGATTACTTGAATCAGCAATGTACAAATTTCCATAAGGATCAAGTATAACGTCATGTGGAAACCACAAATGATTCATATCTGAACCGGGTTCGCCTAGAATACCAGTTACTATTATTCCTGTAGACTTGTTCTTAGTAAATTTTATAATAATATGCTGAGCAAAATCTGCTACGTAGATCGTATCGCACTGATCTGCAAACATACCTATCGGCAAACTCAAATTTGTAGTAACAATCATTCCAGATTTTGTGGAATTCAACAACGACGGCTATCTGACTATTCTACCACTCTCTGATACATAAATTTCTCCTAGTTTATCAACAAAAAGTCCGTAAAAAAGATGTTGTTGACCGGTTCCATCAATAACTGTTACACTTTCTGTACTGTTTACAGTCCATTTTTGTATTTGAAGATTTCCAAAATTATTAATAAACATATTACCAAGAGAATCGACAAAGACATCACTTGAAGCATCGAGCTGACTACTAGCATTGCCTTGTCCATTTCCACCTGTAACTGTAATACCTATGTTTGATCCTTGTACAAATTTTTGTATTCGATGATTTAAATGATCTGTCACATAGAGACTAATTGACGATTCACATATTGCATGGACACAAAAGCGAAGAAAAAGAAACTGGCATTTAACACACGTAGATTTTTTTCTTCCTTTTTTTCGCTTCACCTAGTGTGAATAATCCCGTCATATTGGTCAATAAATATTCCTGCTGGACCACTAATTTGAGTAGCAGATAATCCTGATGTACCATTTTCGGCAACTGTAATCGCATTTTCATTCACTTTCGGTCTTCTATATGTTGAATATATCGGCGCAGAAAAGAAGAAAAAACGATATGAATTTTCGTAGCGTGTCAAACGGCGATTCGAATGATATAAGAATGAAGGGTCTATGTATCAATCAAAAAAACTAGATAGATTTGCAAAATTACGTTTCGCCAACGGAGCATTATCGATGGCTGCTTTTGTAGCTTCGATAGGATATGCGCGCAACCGCATTCTAGACTATAAGGCTAGATGCAGTTCCATGCGAGGAATCCAAATATCACATTGGTAAGCGCAAAAAGTTGAACGGAGAGGAGAAAAACGCATTTTTTCAAAAGTCTTTTTTTTCGAATTTTGACACCTTTTCAGTATTTTGCATTTTTCTCCCTGAAAGCTCAATCAAAACGAAAAAAGAAGGTCAGATTCGTGATCAGCAGCTAGAGGCAAATCGGAATGTGAGTTTGAAAGAAAAAACGAAACTTAGTGAAACTTTGAATTACCCGCATCTTATTAAATGAAGGGTATAGGAAGGCACACATATATACTATTTCAAACCGATTAAATTAACACACACAGAATTATCTTCAAGTAGACCAAGTAGAGTAATGAATGAAGCAAGCATTGTTAGAAGAAGAAAATCAAATGAAAATAATGTTTCATATGGAGTCGAAACAGATTTGGCTGAAGTTTTTTGCAAACGAGTTGAAGAAAAATCTTTTTTGCAAGTTACTTAGAAGCATACGGACATGACTAATACCAAAATATCTCTGCTCAGGTCTTTTCCGTTGCCGAGACAGAAGACATTATTTGTAAAATAACCATAAGTAACTCGAGTACAGTATAAAGACATGATGCGAGCTTACTTTGACTGGTGGAAATCGTGAAAACTGCAAGTATAATCTTTGTTAGAAATAAAGTTATAGCCATTTTACACTCTCAGCGGTTTTCTAAAAGCCACGATTTTCCAGACAATCTGACAACCTTAGAATTCATTCTCAAATATTTTCAGTCACTCCCTTAGACAATTTTCTACAAAACGAGATATCAGCCAGGATTTTACGATGTACTAAAATACCACAAAAAATACGACGCGGATCAAAATATAACAGCGGAAAGAAATGCATTATTTTTTGCTCCTTTCGTTCTACCACATAAATCACACTACGGGACATTTCAATATTTGTTAGCGGTAAAGTCGCGTTTCTCCAAAGGACATTCACCATATTGGCGATTGGCGCATGTTCCCGCGACATTCGCCGTCTGTGAATGTCCATTGGCAAATGTCGGCGAAAGTTGAATTGGCGAACTGCAACAAATCCCACTGTTATCATCATACAAAAATTTTTCTTCACGATCCAGAATGGACTTTGAAATGAATCGAGCACTGTACGATGATCGACGTTTTCCTGAGGAATTAAATTTGTGTTAAGACTAAAATGAGACAGTAGTCGCAGTGACGTCTTGAACACCAGCTCCCAGGTACTTGCATCAGCAAGTATACTGTTTGTAGTGACTTCGAGAGGACGCAGAGCTGGCATAGCGCGCAACCATTGCGTTAATATATCAAACATTTTCGGATCATCGTAGTCGAATCGTATGATAAGAGTATGAAGTGCAGGCACTGGTGTGATATTGACCTTTTCTCGCACCTCAAAAGCGTGGGAATTGACTAACAGTCATTCGTATATTAAGGTATCTGAGACGAGACGCGCATTGAAAAGTATATTGCAAATGCCTCCATTCGCACTGCATCTCTGTGATAGTCAGATGTCCAATGTTTGAAGAAGGAGCTATTAGAAAACTCCAATATTCAGTGCGAATATCCAAGGAGAGAGAAAGCTGTTTGAGAATTCTCAATCGAAAAATATTTGAAAGGAAATTCGTCTCCTTCGCATATAAATTCAACGTATTTGTTGCTTTGATTGATAGTGTATGAATGCTTGTGTCGAACAAAGAAAGAAGGGCAGCTTTAAAAGCAATATTAAAAAGCAAATAATTTTTAAGTAATAATACATCTACTCCGTTGGTATATTTCTCCAGAAGATCAATCAATATTTCGTTAGGAAGCGATTCTAGCTTTGAGAGCAACATTCTTTCGTTAAAGACGATAGCCGCACATCTAGAGTCTTTTGATTGTTGTGCAATGACTTTTTCCCACTGATTCTTGCTTTCTCTCCAGTGAATGAGTCAACGAAAGGAATAATGCATGTTTTAGTTCACAATGTTGAATAGCAGTTCTCATCTTTCTCTTTAGCGGACAAGAAACTTACTTTCTCATGTTTTTATGTAGACAAACATAAAGGTGCGTCACGGTTTTTTTTGACGTGTTCTTTCGTTAGTTACGAATACATATTTGTGAATTGAAGGTGAAATTAAAAAAGTAAAGCCTTACAACAAATTTTGAAAAGCACAAGGAGCAAAGCTGATGAGAGCTTTTTTTGGGTCGCACTATGTCGAAGAAAAAAAAACACATGGCAATAATATGTCGGCCGTGAGCTACAATCTGGTATTGCTCGTTTAGAGAATTCTCTATTGAACAGGGAATGTCGAGTAGATAAAGAAGGAAAAACGAAAGAGTAGGAGAGAGGAGAACAGATTGTGAATGAAATTTAAATAACAAACAAATGGCCACGATCCGTAGATGGTATGAAAAGTATTGTCCGTGTTGTCGATGAGCATGGGCATTTCAAGGTTGAAGTTCTTTCTGAATTGAGAAGCATTTTTCAGTCGTTGATCGATTATCGTCGGTTGATCTACACACGAAATAGTTTTGCCTACAGACTATTGATCACGTGCATGTGCCTCGACAATGTAGATCGCCAACAGCCGCATTCCAGTGGGCGCATAAAGAGCGCGCTAATGTTGTTGATGAAAATTAATTATTTTATGTAAGCACCACCTTCTTGTAATATATGCATATACAGGTTGTCAGATCCAGGTCGTGAAAAATGAGCCATAGATGACTCATTTATGTGCCATATATGGCTCATTTTTAAATCATATCTCTCCCATATTTATCTCATTTATTGTATCATAATGTAGTCATAATTATGTCATTTTTTTATGGGATAAATATCATCTTATTATGGTCATCAAAATATGATTCTATTACGATTTTATGTAGATTATTTTTAGCTCATTTTAAGACTATTTATGAGGTAAGAACTGCAAAGAAGAAAAAGTCCGAAACAGCTCGTGCAGAGATTCGCACCCTAAATCTGTAGATCAGAAGTCTACGATGCTATCCACTACATCACACGGCTATACAAACATATATGTTTTTGCTCCTTCTGTTTTTTAATTTTCACTTTGAACTTTTTTTAAAAGGCTAGTAATTTTGATTAATTAGCCTCTAGTTTTCTCCACAAACACTGTAGAGAGTTGAGCCTGGAGAATAATATTATTATATTAATAATACTATAATTGCGTATAATTTCATAAAAACTACTACTTCCGTTTGTGTCATAATGTCCCATAAATGACTAATCTAATACACATAAATGATATGATCTAATTATGATCATAAAATGTGCCAAATATAATTGTAAGAAAACGGTCATTTTAGATCAGAAGTTAAAAGTGACACATAAATGTCACATCTACGATCCTAGAGATATGATATAAAAATGATATATAAATAGATCATTTTTACAAATTATATCATATATACATCATTTTTATTTCATTTTATGAAATGGTCTTAAAATGACTCAAATATGATACCATTTTAAGCTCATACTTAAATCATTTTAGGATCATAATATGATCATTTTTACTTCATGTCATAAATGAGCCATACATGTCTCATTTATGACTCATTTCCTGCGACCTGGGGAGGTTAAATGAATGAGAGTGAGTCACAGATGATATAAACAAATATGAATCAGACTCTTCAAACTGTAGAGGCAGTAAACGATGTGTTGGTGTCCAGGATAGAACTGCTGAAAATCTATTGCGGCGTGTCCTAAAATTCATCGTACATATTTTAAGAACGTTCGCGTATCAACAATATCCTGGACATTAACACATCGTTTACTGTCTCTAGTGTTTAAAAAGTATGATTCATATCTGTTTAGTATCCTCAGTGACTCACTCCCATTCATTTGTCCTCTGACAACTTGTATTACAAGAAGGTGGTGCAACTGCACTGTTACTTTTTCTCTGCTTATTGTTTTTTTACATTTGTAGAGTTTCACATGAAGAATTGCTTGAACTGATTCATCAAGTAGATCCAGGGTACAGCCACGGATACTTAACGACTTCGTTACTGGGATTGTCAGAAATCATTTTTCC